ACCACTGGTTCAGAAAATATCAGCATAGTAGTCGAGGATTATTGGCTTGAGCACCTCACCCTCAACCCACTGGCTTGCGCAATCCTTTGACTTCAAGAATTTATTTTTCCTCTAGCGCATAGAGGCATAGCTGTGGAAGAACTATGTATTCACATCCCCTTCCTTGAGCCATTGATTTTTTTCCTGTTGTTTATAATAAATGCCATCCTGCTCAAAAAGTCTATGCAGTTCAACATGCGTCCTACTATAAAGCTCAATAGCTTCCCTGACCCGTCTACCCTTCAACTCCAACAATGCCTTCTTTAGACTCTATATAGGCCTCCCTTATCTAGCAACCTTCTTCCCACCCCCAACTAGCCAAAGAATTTCCATAGTAGCGAAGCTAGCTAGGGAGGTCCAAACCAACAGATGAGTTCCAAGCCCCCGCCACGAAACCTATACATCCTTCCTCTTTCGGCCAAGTGTTCTGAAAGAGGAATCTTTGCCTCCGGAGAATGAAGCGGAATCAAGTAGTTGACCGACCAGATTGAGAAAGAGTGATACATAGTCAAAAAAAAAAAAACACATGTTCACTCTGTCCACTTTGGCATTACCGTGGAGCATGTGCCAAGTATCAGTTACCACCGCCCTTTATAATCTTTTCTCCACCAATACGAGTGTTTCTCGCCATCTTCCCATGTAAAAGGATAACACTTCATGCAAAGGTCCACCAATCCGCAATCTTCCAAGGCATCACAAAAGCCTCATTTAAGATGATTAGGTTGAGGGTGGAGCCCTCATTTATCTAAATGCATTGTAACGTCATTGAAATCTCCAATCACTAAACAATGTGAACTAGAGTGGGAGCCTAGAGTTCTCAACAGGTCCTAGGATTCCTACTTTTGGCTTTTCTCTAAGAAACCATAGTAACAAATCAGACGCCAGGGACGATCCCCGAATAGTCTTCTCGACATCCATGCACTTCTGAGAGTAACTCAACAAATTAAACTAGACATGCATATATCCCTCCAAAAAATGGATAAGCCTCCGTTGTGCCCAACACTATTGACGTAAAAGAGACCATCATACCCCAACTTCACCCGTAACCGCTTTGCATGTACTTTGTCAACTTTAGCTTCCATAAGAAAAATAAACATGCATAGTTTCATGGATACAAGATCTTATAACTCACGAACTATGCGTGGATTATGCAAACCATGACAATTCCAGCTGAGGATACTCATTGGCATTGGCGGGCTTGAGAGACAGGACACGCCAAAGACACATTTTTTGGAGTAGTTTCAACCTCATACTCTTCCTTCATGTCTTCCTCCATCATCACATGTTCCAAGTTCGTTCTGTCTCTTGGGAGCAGCCATCATCGTCTCAACTCTCTAATCGTCTAAAAAAAAAACCTCACTCAGCTCTAGGTTTGTTACACTCGAGGTCTCAATCGACAATGAGTCAGTATCAACCAGCAGATTCCTACTGCCTCGCCTGCCTCCTACTCGCAGTTCAAGGCCAAAGGGATAGTCTGTAAGGGCAAGGGATGATAGTAGCACTTTGACATAAAAGCGGTCCGTGTGCCCCAAGATACCACAACGGAAGAAGAAAGGGTGTAGACGCTCGTACTGAGAAAATACCCATATTGCAAAGCCATCATTCTTGGTTAGCGTCATCATCCTATGCAGCAGCTTGTTGACATCCAAGGCCACCTTGACCCTGTAGTAGTTATGCTAAGAACCCCCCCCCCCCCCCCCCACCCCCCAAACCTCTCTGAATTAGTCCTGACAAACATACCCAAGAAGTTCCCTATTTGTTCCAACACGAGATGTAACCATAGGGGAGGTTGGACACCTGCACCCACATGTCTATCGTGTCAACCTAAACCATCGCTGGTAATTACCCATGTTCTAGCAACTAATAAAAACCAGAGAATTGTTTTTGAATGACCAAGGCCCCTCCTTCAGGTCTCACTTCACCTCCTTCTCATGGGGGAATTCGAATAAGAATTTACCATTCCACACATCCAAGATACAGACGCCCATGGCTGGCCTCCAAACAGCAACCAGGACCTATTGCATGACTTCGAACTTTACCGGCTTGTCAGTCAAAAACTGCCCCAACCACGAACCACGTTGAACCATGTCGGCTATCCAGGAGGTCAACAGGCGCATGGCTCGAGCCAGAAGCGTGGAAAGAGATACCAGCATCCTCATCATCAAGAGAAACTTGCGCACAACGTTCAGGAAGGGAACTAACATCCACAGAGGGAACTTCTTCGTGGGGTAAAACCATGGGTGAAAACTGCTATGGGCGAAGGGAAAAGCAAGGTCGACATGAAAAATCAAGTAAACCCTAAAAATCGGGTGGAAAAAAACTCTAGAGAAAACCTAGAGGGAAATTTGTAGTGCTTTCCTCACCATTTCAATTTCAATTTTTACACCTCTTATAGCATGGTTCATGAAATCTTATTAGAAAGTAGAACATATAAGGAATAGAATATGAATTATATATCATGGTTTACACACACACATAGGAACATTCATATGAGAACAATATTCTTGGTAAAAAGTAAGGATTAATATATCCATCCATTTAGATAAATCAACAGTTAAGGGTTGCTAAAAAAATAAAGGAAAAAGGACATAGTTTTATAAATATTGCAAATTTAAAAGTTTACAATAATTATAAATTGACCCACTTTTTTTTTTTACTAAAACTCTCAATCATTTATGAATCCGATGAGCAATTGTGATTAGTCATAACTTTTTACGGGAAGACCAGGTGCTCACTTGAAACCCCCTCCCCCCACCCCCCACCCCCACACACAAATATGTATGTGTGTGTGTATATATATATATATATATATATATATATATATATATATATATATATATATATATATATATATATATATATATATATATATAATACACTTAATAATAATAATAATAATAATTACAATAATATTGTTAATATTATAGAATACATTTATAATACATAACAAAAAAAATAGGTAAATAGGTAATAGCAAATTAATAAGCATTACACACCAAAAAAAAAAAAAAAAAAAAAAAAAAAAGACTGTTCTCGAGAACTCATTAATGATCTAGTACCAAAGGGTCCTTGGAATAGTTTATTATCAATAATAAAATGACTTATCAAACAATAAAATAGGTTTATAATCCCGCAATATTATTTCATTTCAAGTTTGTCGTGTATCAAATATGCTTTTAAATTCTTTTTTTTTCCTAGTTCATGGTCTTACTCTTTTTTTTTTTGGAAGTGTTGGGAAAAATCCCACTACCAGTGATAATCGAAAATCACAGGACCGACAAGAGCGCAAATACGAGATGCTACAATATAGCCAAAATAAATAACAGACACAAGGGACACAAGATTTACGTGGAAAACCCCAAAACCACGGGGAAAAACCACGGACCACCACCAACACAATATTCCACTATAACAAATCTTGGGTACAAAGTTGCTGGCTACCACCCGAGCCAAACACCCTAAAAATCATCAAATACAACAACTCTAGGCCAAATACAATATATCACGTTCACAGGCCTAAAAAAGAATATCAACTCGTACTCAAAATATTCAACCACCACGAACAAGGTGAAAAGAATACAAATATTACGAGCTTACCCAAAATGATGATGCCTGGAACAAACAACTGACCTCTACAAAATATTTGATGAAGAAAAGTACCCCAAAGATCTTCGGCAAACCTCACGACAAATCCATCAGACGTGCGACAAAACCTGCCGACACACGCCATCGTCGTGCCACCAAAGAAGCTAGGCAAACCCACGACAAAGTAGCACAAAAAGAAGAAGATATAGATGTTGCTCCTTCAACTGCTGCATACGGCCGTGCAAAAGAAAGAAAGAAAACTAAATTTTTCTTTCTTTTTTTTTGGGCCTACTGCTTCTGTCGAAAAATACAAAAGGAATATGTGTAGTATGTAGAAGTGTCTAGTGTAGTGGTGAGGAAACAATGAATTCTCCCTCCTTTTATAGATGCAGGCAACCACCTTGGGAAATGAAGAAAGCTAATTAATTCCTCAACTTCCTCCCATAAACCTTAGGAAACCTCTTCCCATAATCTTTAGGAAACCTCTTCCCATAATCCTTAGGAAATCTCCTCCCATAAACCTTAGGAAACCTCTTCCCAAGTTCCCTTATGAAATCTCTTCCCAAGTTCATCCTAAGCAAACTTCTGTCCAACAACTTCATCCCAACATCCACTCTTTAACTTCTACCCAATAACCCACTCTCCAACCCAAATAATTGTCAGCAAACTTTTCCATCAAGCTAACAAATATTGCAGTGGAATAGGCTTGGTCCAAAATGAGCTATTTACCACATAGGAGGGAAGCCCAACCCAACAAACTCCCCTTCCTGATTATGTGGAAGATATTGCTTTCTCGGCGATAGAGAAACAAACCATTGCTCCCCCTGTATAGGTAATCCGATAAGCTGAAGTTGATTTCCTAGTATCAATGTTTCCTTCCATATCTGAATCAATGTATCCGGTAACAATATGTTTCCTGTACCAATAGACAAACTCAGACTTGAAGTACCCTGGAGATATCTCAGAACCCACTTCACAGCATCCTAATGTTCTCTCCCTAGATTTGAGAGAAATCTGCAAACAACACCTACTGCATGAACAATATCCGGTCTCGTACATACCATGTCAAATATGCCCAATCAACAACCAGGGCTCTGATACCACTTTGTTGGGAAAAATCCCACTACCTGTGACAATCGAAAATCACAGGACCGACAAGAGCGCAAATACGAGATGCTACAATATAGCTAAAATAAATAACAGACACAAGGGACACAAGATTTACGTGGAAAACCCCAAAACCACGGACCACCACCAACACAATATTCCACTATAACAAATCTTGGGTACAAAGTTGCTGACTACCACCTGAGCCAAACACCCTAAAAATCATCAAATACAACAACTCTAGGCCAAATACAATATATCACGTTCACAGGCCTAAAAAAGAATATCAACTCGTACTCAAAATATTCAACCACCACGAACAAGGTGAAAAGAATACAAATATTACGAGCTTACCCAAAACGATGATGCCTGGAACAAACAACTGACCTCTACAAAATATTTGATGAAGAAAAGTACCCCAAAGATCTTCGGCAAACCTCACGACAAATCCATCAGACGTGCGACAAAACCTGCCGACACACGCCACCGCCGTGCCACCAAAGAAGCTAGGAAAACCCACGACAAAGTAGCACAAAAAGAAGAAGAAATAGATGTTGCTCATTCAACTGCTGCATACGGCCGTGCAAAGAGAAAGAAAGAAAACTGAATTTTTCTTTCTTTTTTTTTGGGCCTACTGCTTCTGCCGAAAAATACAAAAGGAATATGTGTAGTATGTAGAAGTGTCTAGTGTAGTGGTGAGGAAACAATGAATTCTCCCTCCTTTTATAGATGCAGGCAACCACCTTGGGAAATGAAGAAAGCTAATTAATTCCTCAACTTCCTCCCATAAACCTTAGGAAACCTCTTCCCATAATCTTTAGGAAACCTCTTCCCATAATCCTTAGGAAATCTCCTCCCATAAACCTTAGGAAACCTCTTCCCAAGTTCCCTTAGGAAATCTCTTCCCAAGTTCATCCCAAGCAAACTTCTGCCCAACAACTTCATCCCAACATCCACTCTTTAACTTCTACTCAATAACCCATTCTCCAACCCAAATAATTGTCAGCAAACTTTTCCATCAAGCTAACAAATATTGCAGTGGAATAGGCTTGGTCCAAAATGAGCTATTTACCATATAGAAGGAAAGCCCAACCCAACATGAAGGTAGGTCCTACCTTTTAATATTCAATCCTCTCAATGGGTTTTCATTTTTTTCTTTTTTAATTAATAAACTCTGCAGTTTCATATGCGATTTGATTCTAATTGACTTTTATTTTCCATGATTTCCACATTTTAATTAGTTTGACTGCTTTCTTGTCTTTCTATTTGTAGAGTTTTAAAAAATGAATTATGTGATGCTAATTAAATACAAATTATATTATTGTTGTGTTGTAATTTATCGTAAAGGTATTTAGATGATTGTATGTTATGTCATGTTACTTTCTTGTTTAAGTAAAAGTAATATTATGTTATTAACATGTACCCTTCAAAAAAAAAAATGTTATTAACATGTACGGAATTCAACTTTTATTATAATTTTTGAAAGTAATTTTAACATTTGTCATGATTGAACGAATGATTTGTTGGTATTATAATTTTTTAAAGTAACTTTAACATTTAAGGATGAAAAGTCAATAAAAAAAGTGATTTTTTAATGAGATAGTGATTGATGTGATGTATGTATATTTATTTATTTCACAAAAATAATTTATCTTCTATACAAAATATTACGGAGTAATTAAAACCAACCATATCTACGGAAGTATTTTGTTTTTAAGGGTTTCATACTTCTGTAGTTCCTTTGTATTTTATTTTTTTAGTTTCTCAACTTCAACCACCAAATCTAATCAAGAAGCCTCGCACCATTATCAATGCCTATTTTTAAACAAAAAGGGAAAAGAATACTTTGTGTCAGTGTTCTTTTCTTGAATCTAGGTAAGGAAGGCTTTGAGTTCTGAAAAAAAAGGACAAGAAGTTTTGTATTTTGATCAAGGACAAGAAGGTGTGGTGTTTTCTTCACAGAAGAAGGCGTGGAGTTCTGTTTTTGTTATCTAAATATCTGTATTTTTCACTTTTCCATCAGTTATTTTGACAAGTTATTTCCTCTTGCTTCTTTGGCGAGTTATTTCCTCTCGTTTTCTTTGGCGAGTTTGATGGGTGTCAAAACCAACAAATAATAAATTACTTACTCTATAATTTGCAATAATGATGAGTAAGGTCATACCCACAGAGATTGGTCAGACTTATTTTTAATCAAAGATTCAATAAAGAATGAGATGGGAATTGGAAATTAAATAGCAACAATAAAAAGGCAAACAATACAAAATATTAAATAATCAATATCAACTAGTATCCAACTCAAGGAATAATATCAATTCAATTCTAACAAGACAGATCATCGATTTCCAAGAAATAATTACTTTACGCTTTACCAAATTGGTTATGGTTATTAACAAGCTCTAATAACCTATCTTTCCTTACTTTGTCGATAATCAAAACAAGCTCTTTGATCACTTCCCTAGCTAATAAACAATCCTAAACAAGCTCTTAGGATTTAATTTACTAACAGCATTAAAAGAATTAGAAAGATTACCAATTCTAGCCAACAAACTCAAAAGCATGGTTCATTTAAACTAGACTATATATCTTCATAACATAAGATTGAAAATCTAATTTATAATCAACTATGTTATTTGCTACTAGCTTTAGAACACTTAAATAATTACGGATTCAAAGTTATACTTAGCAATATAATAACTTGACAATTGAACAATGGGCCCTTTGCAACAATTAATCAAGCAATAATTTAAACTCAGATAACATGAGATATATAAATAATAAAGTGCAGAGAATAAAATTAAACTAAATAAATCTCACTGGTCTTGTAGAATCAAACTTCAATAATCCTTGAATTAGAAAAATTCGAACTCAGCAGTACATTGCAGAGAGTGTTTACAGTAAAATAAAGTGATTCTGAACAAAAAAACTGACTTCCTTTACTGAAAAACCCATCCCTATTTATACTAATTCAGGATCCCTAATCATCTCAAAACAACCCTAATTTTCCTAACATCCACAAATAAAATCAATGTCTTTCAACCATATAGAACCTAGAAAATAAATAATATCTATTTTCTAATTTCTAAGAAACCATAGAAAACCAGTAAGACAAGCTCCAACCTCTAATTCACTTCGTAGGAATTTGTGGATGTTGTTCGCAGAAGCTGCCTCAACCGTGGAATCCTTCATCACAATAGCCTATGGAGTTGCGGACGAAGTACTCATTACGCAGCAGTTCACGGACGTTGCAGTCGTCCATCGAAATCCACGTTGCAGCAGATCGCGGACGAAACACGTAGAAGTCGCCGTAGTCGCTGAAGCCTTCTGAAGTCTATGTAAGATTAAACATACCAATTTAATTTAAGAAAAGGCATAAAAGAATGTTAAAATTGAACTTGGACTTAACAATAAAATAAACAAATAAATTTTGGTTGGGTCAAAAGAAAAGTAAAGAGTCCACTTTAATTAACAAATGTAATATTTTTATTCTTAATGGCCTAAAATAATATGTAAACTTATTATTCAAGTAATTAATATATTAATACAAAATATAAATTAAAGTTTAAAATAAGTATAATGTTAAATAAATAAAATTAATTTATTATAAAAACTAATCTAAATAAAAGATGTAAATTGTACTTATTAGAGTTCTTTTTTCAGTAAGGTAAAACGTATTAATTGATCATGGCGTATGATTATCTCATCCTGAGCAACAAAGAAGATCTGATCCATGATATGCAGTTTAGATTAATGAAGATTTTGTTTATAGACCGAATAGCTGCAATAGTTACTCAGGTGGTATGCAAGACTTCTCAAACAAAGTCAGTCTTGGATAGCCAGATCATTACCATCAAAGAAGCTTCAGGTTCCTCCAATGAATTCAGCTTCAATCTTGTAACACAGTTTGCGATTCAAGTTTCTTTTAGCATTGCTAAGAAAGTTGTTTCTATGTCTGACTGTAAAGAATGTCTTATCATTCTATCGATCTTTATTGTAACTGTTTCAACTTATGATTAATGAACTAGCTCGATCTTTATTTTCAAAAAAAAAAAAAAAAAAAAAAAAACATATCAGTTATCTCCTAGAATATTTTTAAAAGAAAAAAAAAATGTATGCGATGACTTTATTACAATATATTATCTGTTCATAATTACTTTCTCAACCCACTGATTACAAAGAGAGACCAAATAACACCTCCACTGAAGCTCAAACTCATAACCTCCCATATAACAGTCCAATCCAGGTACCATCTGAGCACAAGGTGCTTGGCTACCCTTTCACATCTAATGTGGCAATTAATAACCAATTGTCATATCATGGACCCAGATTTATGTTGTATTGTGTACCATAATCTAAAAATTATATTATGTAATTAACACATTTTGTACCTGCAAACAGCAATTAACCATTTTTATACCTGTAACCAAATTGAAGGCACATAACATGATAACTACAAATACATAAATTGTTAACTGCAAGTACAGAATATGCTAACTACAATGTTATGCGTCTACAGTTAACATATTTTGTGCATGTAGTTAACAGTTTATGTGTTTGTAGTTATCATGTCATCAGTCTGTAATTATTATGTGATGTGCCTTCAATTTGTTTACAGGTACAAAAACAGTTAATTGCAAATATAGAATGTATCAACTGTAAGTACATAATCTAAAAATTATTTAAGGTCCATAATGTAAAATAGACTCTGATCCATGATATAATTTGCCATTAACAACTGATATGACATGGATGATTACTCACCATTTTACATTTTTATACTCTTTTTATTATGACCAATTAATTAATAACATGTGAAGAAGCTTTCAAAAATATAACATGTGAAGAAAATTATACTCAATAATTAAATAACATTTGCATTCGAAAAAAAAAATAACATTTTTTTCACGTAAAATATCGGCCAACAATCAGACAACATTGTATTCATGTATCAGACTCAATGACTTATAGCCATATATATATAATACGGAGTAATAAATTGATCAGTACGTTTTGTTAGGTGCATAACACTTGAAAGCATCGGTGATCAGACAATCACTTTTTCTTTTTTCTTTTTTCTTTTTTTTTTTTTTTTGACAAAAAAAAAAAAAAAAAAAAAAAACTTTTCTTCGGCTTTTCTTTTCTTAATTCTATTTCTTTCCCTACGAAATGGCATCAATTTAATTCTATATTCACATAGGTGTTTAGTAAATAACTGTTAGGTGTTAGGTGATTGGGTTAGTGTGTTTGATTAGTTGATAGCATTAGCTGATTATACAAAGATGTTTGGTAAATTAGTTGTTAGCTGATAGTTGATTACATGCAAAATGACTTTCCCGAAAAACTTATCGAAAAAGCTACTTTGAGCGACTTTTTGAATTTTAGCATTTTGGAACAATAAGTTGTTACAAAAAGCTAATTAATCAAACATTTATATTGGCCCTGTTTGGTAAAATAGTTAGTCTATAGGGCAATTTTGGCTTATTCGACCACTATTAGCTCTTTGATTTGGTTAAAAAATTAATATAAGTGTTTGGATAATTAGCTTTTTGTAACTCCAAAATGTCAAATTTTAAAAAGCTACTCAAAGTAATTTTTTCAATTAGCTTTTTGAGAAAAGAAATTATACCAAACAGCTATCAGCTAACAGCTAATTTACCAAACACATTTTTACAAGAAGCTAATGTTATCAACTAGTTATACCCTCTAATTAACCCAACCAGCTAACAGCTAACAGCCATTTACCAAACAAGGCATCGGGGCCATAATCTATGTTAAACTAAGTCAAATAGCTTATAGTGGTCAAATAAGTAAAAATTGACGGATAATCTATGTTACCAAACAGGACCATAATCTATATTGGCAAAATTTATATATATATATATATATATATATATATATATATATATATATATATATATATATATATATATATATATATATATATATATATATATATTTTTTGGTTCCTGTGAGGTCAGGTCTTCCAGTGCGGTCAGTGCGGCATACATCATTAGGTATGCATAAATGCACCATATAGTGTTCGAAAATACAGCAGAATGAAATGCCAAAAAATACACCACACACAAAAAAAAAAAAATACACCACACATAATGGTGTATTTACGAACACTGTGTGGTGCATTTATGCATACCTAATGGTGTATGCCGCACTGACCGCACGGGAAGACCTGACCTCACAGGAACCTGACTATATATATATATATATATATATATATATATATATATATATATATATATATATATATATATATAATTTCGACCAAATAAAAACACTCTCACATGAGAAAACTAAGAACCGTCAATATGGGAAGATTGAACGACTTTAAAGCAAGGAGAGAGGAAAAAGAGACAATGACATTTTAATAAATAACTTGAACTTTAAAATGCAATGAGTTAATATCCAATTTAGTCATCAATTATATTGGTTTTTTTCTCGATTTAGTCATAAACGACTTTTGTGCCCAATTAGGTCCTCAACTTTGATGATTTTAATCAATTGAGCCCTCTATTAAGATAGCTTGGTAATTTCACCTCTATTAATACTCAATTTAGTCCTTGACTATAGTAGTTTTTCCAAAGTTAGTCTTTGACTATAATGATTTTACCCAATTTAGTCCTCGATTATAGTGATGTTTCTTTATTTAGTCATTGATTCTAACAGAAGAAGACTCAATTGGGTAAAATCATCAAATTCGAGGACCTAATTAAGCACAAAAAGTCGTTTATGACTAAATCGAGAAAAATCACTATAGTCGTGGACTAAATTGGGTATAACTCAAAATGCAATTAACAATACTACAGATTACGACTAAAAATATCATAGAGTGCAACCCGCATATGTATAAGTGCAGTGAGAATATGCACTCTGTAACTTTAATTAGTTGCACTATACAGTGTTGAAAGTTGTACTACATAGTATAACTAGTTGCACTTTATAATTAAAAAATTGAAAAAAAATCAATATGAATGTTTAATTAAAATACAATTACATTTAAGTAATGAATAGGTAACTACAATAGTGACTTAATGTAATGGCATGTTAATTTAAAAATTTTGAATAATCATTGTTAACTAGAGTTTCAATGAAACTAGATATCACAACTTATAAATGACTACATTAATTTTTAGAATACGACAACATACTGAATTCGAGGGGGCGCCCACACAATATATATATATATATATATATATATATATATATATATATATATATATATATATATATAGAAAAGCGCTCATATGTGGTCATGTCATTAGGTGTGGTCGTGTGGTCGTATCTGGGTCGTTGAATCAGTTTAATCTAAAGGCAGTGGTAATTCTGAGAATTTTCGCGCGTTTTAGTAAGTGGGGGTGTTATGGTAATTACAGTGACCATTTATAGCGGGCGGGTTCCAGAATACACCAACAGTGTTGACAACATACACCAATAGTGTAATAAAACACACCACAGTGAAACACACCAATGGTGTATTCCCGTGTTATGGTAATTACAATGGCCATTTATAGCGGTCGGGTTCCAGAATACACCAACAGTGTTGACAACATGCACCAATAGTGTAATAAAACACACAACAATGTGATTTTCCCTATTCCGGTGTTTTATGACAAGTTTACCCTTACAGTTCTCTGGGTAGGAGAATGTGCGCGAAAATACTGGAAAAAATCTTGATTAATATGAATCATTAGATCTATCTAATCTAATGGTCTATAATTGACCATATGACCACACCTAACAACATGACCACATGTGAGCGCTCCTCTATATATATATATATATATATATATATATATATATATATATATATATATAGTGAAAGGTTCCCGTGCGGATGAATGCTTCCCGTGCGGATGTGCGGTGGATTAATGTGCGTGAGATTTGTACTCAATGTGCGTGAGTG